TTGTTATTGAATGGGACTCTGAGACTGACGGATTCAGTTTGTATGAAAAATCTGCCACAAAAGAAAGTTAGCTTGCAGACCCTGGGCACTGGTATTTGCCAAGCATGGGGTTTCCAGCCTCTCTTCACATTACTGTATACTATAGGGATGAGTCATGCCTGGAAAATGTAGTGATTGTGAATTGCAATTGTCCTCTGCTGAAAAATCCGGCTTAAGAATTGGCTCACATGCTCTAGTTCACCAAAGGGCGAACATCCTATTCATGTGCCAACATCTTATTTCTCTTGTCACAGACAGGCAGCACAACTTCCTCGGACTGGGGACCAGAGCTTAGAGATGCTAGAGATTCCCTGTGAGAGCAGCAAAGGGTGCAGGAAAAAGGGGAAGAAAAACCTTTCATTAAGTAACATGGGGCTGAGTGCATTGGCTTACACCTGTAATCCCAGCACTTTGGGAGGCCCAGGGAGAGAGGAGGATCATTTGAGCCCAGGAGTTTGAGACCACCTTTGGCAACATAGAGGGACCTTATCTCTACAAAAAGTAAAATTAGTCAGGCTTGGTGGCATGCATCTGTAGTCCCAGCTACTCAGGAGGCTGAGGCAGGAGGATCAGTTGAATCCAGGAGGTTGAGGCTGCAGTAAGCCTTGATCACACCACTGCACTCCAGCCTGGGCGACAGAGTGAGACTCTGCCTCTTCACAAAAAGGTAACGTGGAATGAAGGGGATGGGGGAAACACTCAGTGTCCCCTCCTGCAAATCTAAATCAATTCTTATACTCTGGGGCGGGGCTGAGAGAGTCAGAAGAGATTGTGGGTTACCAATAATCCCTGCATTTGTGCTTAGAACCTACTTGCTATGGGTTACAGAGGCTGAACTCATTCAAGGCTTTTGCGTGGGGGCAATTAGTTCCAGCCCCTATTTAGTGGCATTTTGCCAACATAATGTCCCAACACCAGCACGGTCAGACCACAGAATTAGTCTGACGTGAGAAGTTTGGGGTGAAATGGGAGTCCAGGCTGGTGGGTCCTGGTTGCTGAGGTCTATTAGGAAGCTGAGGCTTAGAGATGAGGCAGGAAGCCGTAACTGAATTTCACCCTGAGTCAACCCCCTCCAGTCTGTGTCTGTATTCCCAGAACTGCCCATCTTCTCACAGTTGGGCCACATGAGTCCTTCCTGTCACTAGATGGACTGGGAGCAAATGTGTGGAAGGGGCCCGGGTTACTGGAAGAGCATTTCCTAAAGTAAGGGTGGCATGGAAGTGTCCCTATGAGCGCCTGTGAGGCCTTCCTTTGATGTCTGTTTTTGAAACCCTGCTTCTGCCGTTATTTGTTTTCATACAAGAACATTTTTCTTATTCCTCTTCCTTAAGCAGTTATGAACATGTAATAGCTAATAATTCAATACTCTCCATCAATGCAAATAACAGCTCCAATCCTAAGAAAGGGGTAGGTTCTGGGTTACATCCCCTATACCGAATAGTCCTTTAATGGTTAGTATTACAGGAACATTAAACAGATATAGAAATTTTAAAAAATATATGGGCCAGTTTCCTGACTTTTCATTTGATTTAAAAAGACGGATTTACTGCTGGGAAAACCTCTTTTCAGAGGAAAGCTTGTGTGAGTTTTATTAGTTCCCTTGCACTATGGCCACAAGGAAGATGGGATCATCGGTATTGCCAGCCCATCCTGCACACCTTAGGTATGTTTAAACTCAAAAGCACATTTGTCGTGTGGGTTGTCAGAACTCTACTGTACAGAGTGAAGTGAGCTCTATATTAGAAGGCTTTGGAAGACCACAACATCCTCATCCCACTCACCCCAGACCCCAATCCCTGCTGAAAATAGACCTCAACTCAGGTTACAAACCAGAACCAGAAACAATGCCAGCTTTAGAATAAGAAAGATGAAGTGCTGTGTTCTCCCTAAGTCAGCGGTTCTTCGACTTGAGCATGTATAAGAATCACTTGGTGATTTTTTTTTAACCTGTAGGGTTTGAGGGATCTTACCTTAGAGATTCTGGATCTCATGGTTTCTGGACACTGTCTAAGCCAGTGGTTTTCAAACCTACTTGCTACTGGAATCTGCTTTTTAAAAAGAGATGCTCAGCTTGCACCTAATTTAATTAGAATATCTGGGGAGTCAGGGCCAGGCTTTGGTAGCTTTTAAAAGCTCTATGGGTTCTTTTAATATGAAGCCAGTTATGAGTCCCTTGTGCAAGCTAAGAAGCCTCCCGTATAGACATGGCTGAAGGCTCTTTGGAAGTCTTTTGGATGAGGCAGCTAGCTTGACATGCTTATCTTCAGACAGACAAGGTATCCTGCCCCAACACATCCAACTGGCCATATTAAAAATTCATGGCTTACAACACAGATAAGCATTAGAAGACTTGTGAAACCCTTGGATTTACAGGCTGAAATTTGTGCAGATGTGCATATGTCCCCCTTTCTAGGGAGACAGTCCTCAGCTTCACTGGATTTGCTTTATTTTCTCCCCTATCCCCTTGTTTTATTCATTTACTCATTAATTCCTTTTTATCCCCATGCCCTGCTCCCATTCTTGCAGGTAAAATCTGCTAAAGTATATCTGGAACTCATAAAGTATACCAGGGACTCATAAAGTATACCTTTTTGCTAAAGTATACCTTTTTGTTTGCATGTTTTTCTTTGCTTTCTGTGGATCTATTTGTAATTTATCTGAATGATGTGCTCTTACTCAGTGCTATGCTTTTAAGATCTATGTTAATTGGTATGCATACATCTAATCCATGACTCCCACCTGCTGCATCCTGCTTCATGGGGCATCCGCATTATTCTGCCTGTCTACTTCCCCAGTGATGAATACTCAGCATGTTTCCAACTCTCCTTGGCCATGAATAGCCAAGGTTGCTCACAGCAGCCCGGTGTATGTCCCCTTAAAAACCTGCATGAGAACTTCTTGGGAAATGTACCCAGAAGAGGAATTGCTGGGTCACAGTGGGAAGCAAGTAGTTCTTTTGACTAGGAAGGGCTGGACTGCCCTCCATATACAGAACCATATACTCCCATTCCCTTCACTGGATTCCTGAATGAGCTGAGATCTGCCCTCTGGTAAAGTGTAAAATGATAGGATGATAGTCTAGGCTGGGCCTTTGACCCTCATTGCAGTTTGCTTTTCTGTTTGCCTTTCTTTTTCCTTCTTCCGGGTCTACCTTCTTTCCCATTCCCTGTGGCTGCTGTGTTAAACCTTCATCATCACCCTCAAGTCTCCTATTCTACCGCAACTTCTTTTTCACAGAGAAAATGGAGGTTGTCTTTAATTTTCTCTCTCCTTTTCTCAATGTGCCAATGTCAGCCCCATCTTGATTTATTTTTCCATTCTTGCTCCCTTCCAGGGCTAACCTCCACCGAGCTTTTATTCCCTACCTTCCTGTCTTCCAGGAGCCTTGCTGTGTCAGCTTTTCCTGTTGTTTCTCTACCTCTCTCTTACCATTGGCTTATTCTGTGGTCTATAATATTAGCCAATTCTTTCCCATCCTGAAACCAACTTCCCTTCTACTTAAGCTACCTCTCTTCATTCTTTTTAAAAATGTTTTTCGGCCAGGCGCAGTGGCTCATGCCTGTAATACCAGCACTTTGGGAGGCCAAGGTGGGCAGATCACGAGGTCAGCAGATCGAGATCATCCTGGCTAACATGGTGAAACCCCGTCTCTACTAAAACTACAAAAAAAATTAGCCGGGCAAGGTGGTGGGTGCCCGTAGTCCCCGCTACTCGGGAGGCTGAGGCAGGAGAATTGCTTGAACCCGGGAGGTGGAGGTTGCAGCGAGCCAAGATCACACCACTGCACTCCAGGCTGGGCAACAGAGAAAGACTCCATCTCAAAAAAAAAAAATGTTTTTTATCTATCACCAACTTTTTAAATGCAGTGACATTTCTTCTCACTCACTCCTCCATGCCTGGCAGTCCAGACAATGGCCTTCTAGTTGCAAAATCTCTGTGCACTTCCCAGTTCCCTCCTGCTTATTTCTCTGTCGCATCTGACACTACTGGCAGTCTGCTTCTTCTTGGAGGTGGCTCTCCTCTTGACTTGGCTCTCAGGACATTATTTTCTCCTGGTTCACCCCCTCTTCTTTCTGTTTCTTCTCAGTCTCCATCATGGCCTCCTTTCCCTCTACCTTCCCTTCAAACTGCTTTCCCTTATGGCTCCCCTCTTTAGGCCTCAGCACTGCCACATGTCCTCCTGAGAGCTCATCTACTTCTTAGGCCTCCTGAGTTGTCATATGATTCTCAAACCCGGATCTCACTTTAATTCAACAAGTAGTTCTTGAAAACTTACTGCGTGGTAGGATCCAGAGTCCCATGTGACATATGAGAGTTCACTCTTCTGAGCTCTAGACCCCTACATCTGATAGAGTTTGTTTGCTACAGTTTGAGGATATGTGTATACCTCACAGACTAGCTAAAATAAATTATATACCTCTAAGTAAGCTTCTTTTGAAGGGGTCCAGAACATAGCCCTGTCTGACAACATGTCAGCAGATAATCCTGTCTGCTCTGATTTTAGCCTGGAGAAGGCACCAAAGGTCTCTGGGTCACAAGATGTGCACATATTTTCTTTGACTAAGACAGGACTGCTCTCCAGAACAGCTGGAGTGCCTGCAGTTCTAAGAATATAATTTGGTCCATAGATTTTTTTCCCTCTCCTTTGGAACAGTAAGGCATGGACAGAGTACAGGCTGATGAGAATGACCGTATGATGTGAGAATTGTAAATCATGTTGATACTGTCAGTAACAGACCCTGCCTTAAAGTTGCTTACCCCAATAGTACTGGGACAGTGAGGCTCACACATGAAGGAGAATTGTACCAGGCTGGACATAATTAAATGGGAAACTGAATAAACATTATGCCTTTCTTGTAATAGTTGAGTTGGGCAGATTAGGAAGGACAGAGTAAGCAAATCTCCTCTAGGCTGGCCTGGCTGAGCCTCGGAGGACCAGCTGCTCCCTGAGACAGCCTTACCTCTGTTTCAGAATCTGTTTGTTGTCATCGATGGTAACGCTGTCAGCGTGGTCCCTCTTGAAGATTTCAAAAGCCTCCTGGCGCCCTAAAGACATTTCCTCTCTCATTCCTGTTTGGAGACACAGGGAAATGGCCTCAGTCATGGCATCAGGATCCTATTAATTTCATTGTCACTTTAGTCAGACCACAAAACCAGCCCTGGCTCCAAGAGGCCCACAGCAGAGAGGCTCTGACCAGACAGGTGGCCCCAGGCTCTTCCAGCTGGCCACCAACCTGCCTAGGAGGCCCTTCCAGTGCCACCCGCTGCACCCCCCAGGACTGTGCCTGCACAGCCATGTGACTCGTGGGGGGCGGGGTTTGGAACGCCTGCCTGCTCAGAGGAAATGAAAACCAGAACACCAAGCCCTGGATTGCCGAGGACATCTGCAAATGTATTTTCTTGCCATCGTTCAGTGCCACATTTCTCCCTGGTATGCCCTATTTTGTTTTTCTATTAAATTTCCAGGCATTTAGTTAAAGGAATTATAATCCAAACTGAAAGATAGCATCTAGAAAATTCTGCTCTTAGTCTCTGTGTAACAATTCATTCTTGTTTCCTGTGGTTAGTGAGGGGGGTCTCCGCTTTTCTTCAGGAGTTAGGTTCTCAATCACAAGACCCATGAGCTGGCCATGGCAGGGGTCCCTAGGTCATCTCTAACTTCAATATCCTGTATCGCCTTTGCCAACCCTCACTGCTGGGCGCTGTTCAGAGTTTAACTTCTGGAGCCACGGTCAGTACAGCCAGGACCAGGCTCTCTTCCTCACCACCTCCCGGAATGAGCGTCAGTGCAGATGTGTGCCTGGGACCCCTCAGTGAGAGCTGAATTCACCACTGGATTTTGGATGCATCTACAGAGCCATTTTTTTAAATGCTTCCACCCTTGTTTCCTTTGCTTGGGAGGCCTTTTCCCACGTTTTCCTCTAGTGACTCTATCTCCGTGGAGCTTTTGTCAAAGCCCAGGCAGAACAAACCCTCTTTCCACCATGTTCCTTATCAATACACCTATAACACCCACAGCCCAGTCGTGGACACTGTCACTTCATATGACAATCCTTTCTGGTGAAATGTAAGTTTCTCAGGGGGTAGAGATAATGGTTTTTTGTTTGTTTGTTTCGTGAATCCTTGTGTCTTGTTCAATGTCTAGCATTTAGAAGGTGCTCAGCATACATCTGTGAAACGAATCAGGTTGAGAATGAAGCTGGGTGGTGCCGAGCCTTGCTCTTGCTGTGGGAACACAGTCCGGGGTTAGTGAGGCTTACTCTGAGCCCAAGGGTTCCGCACAGGCTTTCATATGGGCCACATACCACATCTCCTCTTGCCTGGAAAAAACTCTCTGAGTCCCATCACCCATCCTAAGGGTGAGTAACTGGACTAGCCCATCTGACACCAATTTAATGATTACTGTTGATAAAAATAGCACCGTGAAGAATGTCTAAATGGTGAGGCACACAAAGACACCCCGCCCTTTTCCGATCAGAAGCAAATGGGGACGACTCGGCTTTGTCTCCACATCTGCCTTGCACACTCTAGAATTGAGTAGGCCTGGGAATCCGCTTATATGAGATGCGGAAAGATGATCCCTGGTGCATGAGAGACATTGAGGGGCACGTTTCACCAGCAGAGCCCATCAGGAGCCAGCGGATTAATTGCATACCTCTCCCCTGTCCGGGTCTGCACCCAGTTCTAACAGTGCATGCCTTTTGCTACATAATAAAATAATAACAGACGGTAGAGGGCATGAGACTTTGGACTGGAGTTAGTGAAGAGAAAAGCTCCACAGAGACCACACTGGAACCTGCTTGTGGAATCCCCAAATTGCCTCCCGCAGGGGAGCTGATGAGCAGGCTTCCACCAACAGAGGTGTGGGGGTGGTGGGTGAAAGGGGTGTGGGGGTGGGGAGTGAAAGGCTGCTCAAAAAGCTGCAGGGAAGAAGAGTTCACAGCCTCTTCCCTCTCAGGCTCTGCTTTCTCTGCAGAGTTGACAGTGTGAACTGACAGCTGGGTGGAAAGGACCATGCCAGAGCCCGTGGCACTGTGGCGGCATCCACTCCTGGGAGAACCTACAAGGCACTGAGCAACCCACTGGGACTAACTATATTCCCAACAACCAACAACACAAAAGTAAATGACAATATGAAAACATGAAACAACATGAAATGCACCTTCCCTGAGGGCCTGGGCGGTGGGAGCAGAAAGGACATGGAGGGCACAGAGGAGACAAGCGCAGGAAGTTTGGGATTATTGTGTACAGAGTCTTGAAGGACCTATTAAGAAATTCGGGGCCAGCAGCATAACATATTCTACATGCATTGCCAACTTTCAAAGACTGAAAATGAATAAAGTACACATTATGGGAAAGTTACACTGGAGGGATTTAATACTCTTGATGACTTAAAAGGCACTGAGGGGTCCTGAAGTGCCAAGGGCTTATCATCAGAAACATAACATTGGCTTTCCTTCTATCACGGACAAAGTATTCTGGAGTTGGAGTTAGTTGATTGTGGTGACCACAGGTGAAGGACATCAGAATGATGGCTATAATCTTGTCAGCTGGTTTCCCAAATGTCCACTCAGCGAGGCCAAGGTGAGGTGGCTGAAGCGTAGCCGGAAGGCAAAGAGGCAAGGCCAGGCCAGGATGCCTGCAGAGACTTCATGGCCACCACTTGGAGCAAGGCTGAGGTCCACAGAGGGAGGCACGTGGGAAGGACTCACGGGCAGCTCCAGTGTGTGAGCCCAGGTCCCAGCCTGGCCCTACCCCTGACCATCCCCATTCTGCTTATTCAGAGCTCATGTGCAGCTCCTTTGGATTACACTAATATACCACTTCTCACCCCAATTTGGGATCAGCTGCAAAGTTAATGAACAGCTTTTATTTACTGAAGAAATCACTTCCTTGTCCCCCTGAGGATTTAGAAAACAGGCTCTTTCTCCTATGGCAAGTTCCTGTCCCTCAGCATGCACTGTATGCGTTTGAAAGAGAAAGAGCAAAGGAGCAAAAAGGGTGATTAAAAGCTCACCTTGCTAACGAGACAATCATCTATTTATTCTCTCAAGAAGCATTTATTTATATTAGGCATTGTGCTAGGCATGTGACAGAGATGTAAAGTTGAATATTAAAGCTTTGATCCTTGGTTTAAAGAATTCGAAGTCCAGTAAGGGAGAAAGAAAAATGAAAAATGGCCGGGCACAGTGGCTCACGCCTGTAATCCTACCACTTTGGGAGGCCGAGGTGGGTGGATCACCTGACCTCAAGAGTTCGAGACCAGTCTGGGCAACACGGTGAAACTCCATTTCTACTAAAATACAAAAAAAAAATTAGCTGGGCATGGCGGCACACACCTGTAATCCCAGCTACTTGGGAGGCTGAAGCAGGAGAATCACTTGAACCCAGGAGGCAGAGGTTGCAGTGAGCCAAGATAGCACCACTGCATTTCAGCCTGAGTGACAAGGCGTGACTCTGTCTCAAAAAAAAAAAAAAAAGAAAAGTGAACAAATATTTACAATGGAGGTTGCCGCTTGCTGTAGAGAGGCATGTGTCCAGCATGTGGGAGAGGGAGGAAGGGAGGCAGGGACTCTCAGGGAGAGTAGAAGGCTGTAAGCAGGAGGGAGCAAGTGAACTTCATCCAGAAGGATCCTGAAGGATGGAGCAGCATTTCCCATGTGGAGAAGACATGGAAGAAGATAGCAGGTGGAGGGGGCAGACATTGGAGTGTGGATTAAAAATGCAACCTGATTAATATGGGTGGCTCTGCCATCCAACAGAAATGACCTCTAGGTGATTAAAAAATGAATTTCTTATATACTCTATACCAAGAATAGTATCATGGGCTTTCTTACATATTATTTCAGTTAAATTTCTCTATGATCTCTGTTAATAATTTCATTTTATAGATGAAGAAACTGAGGCTTAGACAAACAACTGATTATAAAGGGGTGAAAAATGCCCAGCTTTTAGAGGCAGTCGTTTCTGCTCTTAGATCAGTTTTTCCAGGGAAAGTAGGCCTGACAGAGAGGGCAAGGTGGTGGGGCTCAAAATGACCTCGTAGTATTAATAGTAGATTTACCCATGAGATCATACTCTTATTCGTGCCTCTCTGTCTAAAATGTTGATTTATTTTTATAATATCACAGAAAAACAGAACCATATATAAATTTTTTACTACCTGCATAGTTTACTTCATCTGTTAATATGTTTTATTATTATTTCTAGAATTTGTAAGCTCCATGAGGGCAGGTATTTTTAAAAAATTTTTATTTCAATAGCTTTAGGGGTACAAGTGGTTTTTGGTTACATGGATGAATTGTATAGTGGTAAAGTCTAGGATTTTAGTGTACCCATCACCTGAATAGTGTACATTGTACCCAATAGGTAGTTTTTCATCCCTCACTCCCCCAACTTCCCCCATTTGAGCTCCAATATCTATTATACCACTCTGTACACATTTGCATACCCATAGCTTAGCTCCCACTTATAAGTGAGAATATGTGGTCTTTTGTTTTCTGTTCTTGAGTTATTTTACTTAGGATAATGGCCTCCAGTTCCATCCAAGTTGCTGCAAAAGACATTATTTTGTTCTTTATGGCTGAGTAGTAATCCACACCACATTTTCTTTATCTGTTCATCAGTTCATGGACACTTGTGTTGATTTTGTATTTTTGCAATTGTAAATTGTGCTGTGATAAACATACGCATCCATGTGTCTTTTTTATATAATGACTTGTTTTCCTTTGGGGAGATACTCAGTAGTGGGATTGCTGGATCAAGTGGTAGATTTACTTTTAGTTCTTTGAGAAATTTCCATAGAGTTTTCCACAGAAATTGTATTAATTTACAGTCCCACCAGCAGAGTATAAGCATTCCCTTTTTACCACATCTGTGCCAACATCTATTGTTTTTTGACTTTTTATTAATGGCCTTTCTGGCTGGGGTAAGATGGTATTTCATTGTGGTTTTAATTTGCATTTCCCTGATAATTAATGATGTTGAGCATTTTTGCATGTTTGCTGGCCATTTTTATATCTTTTTTTGAGAGATGTTTCTTCATGTCATTTTCCCACTTTTTAATAGGA